TATCTATCTATCTATCTATAATATTTTACATTTATCATTTTATACATTATAAAACCTAAATTGTACCATGCACATCGTGTATGATACATTCTGTTGTTTTGTCCTTCAGGTATGTGCCTTTTGGCATCATGTTCTTGGTTGGCAGTAAGATTGTGGAGATGGAAGATGTGGTTCTGCTGGTCACTAGTCTGGGGAAGTACATTTTTGCCTCAATTCTGGGCCACATCATCCATGGTGGCATCGTCTTACCTCTTATCTACTTTGGGTTCACTCGTGCAAACCCCTTCAGTTTCCTGTCTGGCCTCATTACACCTTTCACCACCGCCTTTGCTACCTGCTCCAGGTACTTTGTTATATTTCATATATTTCTGTAGTCCTATAAGCAGGTTAATTTGGCTCCCAGTATGTGACTAAAAAGCTTTGTTTCCTTTTTTTCCTGGAATCACTATAGTCCTGCTAAATCTTTAGTAGTGTTGCTGATATGCAAACACCTTGATTTGTTGGCAAAGGGCCCTTAATCAGGTTGACAAAGTAAGATTCTTGAACGTCTTTTTCATAATTTGATGGTTTATTTGCAGTCTCAACACTTTTGGACTAGTTGAAAGCAGTGTTGTTATTGTTTAATAAAGCTAAAACTATTACAAAATGTTTTAAATTTAAAACCTTAAATTAAAAATGAGAAATGTTGTCTAACCGAAATAAGTTTAAGCTGAAGTACTAAAATTGGTAAAACAGTAATAAAAATATATTAAAATTTAATAGAAATCCAAAAAGAAAAAAGAAAAAATCAGAATAAAAACGAATAAGAATCACAAAAGCACATAGCAAAATCCCTATATATAGAAATATAGAAATAAAAGCTACATCAAAAAACTGATAGATATTATTATAGTATATAAATAAAATAAAAATATCTCTGATTGGGCCTGAAGTCATTAAAATTTAGTTATAATGTTTTTTTTCCACCCGTAGAATGCTATGACCATTATTAGATCTAATTTCCCATTACATACTTATTCCCTGTCTGTTTTCTGTCCCTGTGCAGCTCAGCGACACTGCCTACCATGATGAAGTGTGTGGAGGAGAACAACGGTGTCGACAAACGAATCAGTCGGTTCATTTTACCGATTGGAGCCACTGTCAACATGGACGGAGCAGCCATTTTCCAGTGCGTTGCGGCTGTGTTTATTGCCCAGCTCAACAACGTTGAACTCAACGCAGGCCAGATCTTCACAATCCTGTGAGTGTACATCGCTATGAGGCCTTTCTTCAATCAGCAGGAGTATTGATAGATACCCTGAAACATTCCTGTATCTATACTGATTACATGCAACATGCTCTATATCTAAACAAGGCTGGGATGCTAAGCTTGATCTAAATTTACAAGCAGCACACACTCACTCTCTGGAGCCTGTCCCAGTGTGCAAGGTTACGCTGTTGAGTGTGTAGCAAGCGATGTAGAGCTGAGGCTCTGATGGAGGTTTGGATGATGATAAATGAGCTATCACCATTCTGGCTGTTAGAAACATGGCACTTAACTCCAGGGAATTTGTTTCTGTAATAAGTGAACCGTTAATCACTTAGGAAAAGCATCTGCTAAATGACTGCTTATTTGCTTATTCAAAGGGTGACAGCCACTGCCTCCAGTGTGGGAGCAGCAGGTATTCCAGCTGGAGGCATCATCACCATCGCTATCATTCTGGAGGCCATAGGTCTGCCCACCCATGACCTGTCACTCATGTTGGCTGTGGACTGGATTGTGTAAGACAGCTTCTACCATTTATATTCAATATCAATAAAT